TTGCCTCTGTCTCCTGTTTCCCAGAGGTTCAAAATGCAGTGCCCCTAGAGGAAATAAAGGGACCTAGGTACCAGATCTGGGGTCACATCACAGCTCCCCCATGTATTACCAGAGGACTTCTGAGCACTTTCTCAGCCTGTTTACCCAACTGTCAAATGGGGATCATTACTCCTATGTTGCAGGAAGCCTCCCAAATCAGAGGAGGGAAAGGAGCTGCAGAAGAGGAAGGCTGGGGTGATGGTGTGTGGCTCCAAATTGCCAGGAGCCCCCAGATGGCCCCGAGAATACTGGCCACGGGTCTAATCCCAGAGATTTATGAAGGGTGCGGGCTGTGGCTGAGGGCGTTTGTTGCTTTGCCACAGAATAATCCAGAACTCCAAAACAGACCCCCCTCCACCCCACTGAAGTGAGGTATCTGATCCTTGGCCACGAAGGACCTCCAGCCTTTCAGGGAAGCAACAGGTGGGCCCCACAAATGTAACCCACAAATGACGTTAATGAGGCCCTTCCTTGCTAATTAACAGGTCCACGTGACAGGAGCCTGAAAAGGCCAGTCTGTCCCAGCAAGTCCCAGCAGGCCTGACCCAGGCACCAGAGAGAGGCCTATGTCCAAGGGCAGTGGGGACGCAGAAGGTTGGGCTGGGCTGGAGCAGGAAGCCACAGGCAGAGGAGGGGGGTCAGAGAGGGAGGGGCCTTGGGGATGGGGGCCTGGAGAGGGCGGCACCTCGGCGGCCTGGGGACTTACTGGAAATGCAGTCCCCTCATCCTGAACCTATCGCGTCAGAATCCGATCTTAACAAGGTCCCAGACGACTGGATGCGCTTTCCTATTTGAGCTGCCCTGAGCTGAAATGACTTTGTGTCATTTAACCTATCTGAGCTTTCTGTTTTTCCTCAACTGAGAAAACAGAGGTAGTGTTTCGCATAGCGCCTGCTTCAGTAAATAACTGATGATAATAATAACGATGACATTATTGTTATTGTTACTAATTCACTGGCTGGGAGAGAAGGGGCCCCTGTGGCTGGTCTGCCGTGGTCAAGGGAGGGCCGGGCTTTCTGGAGTTGAACCACAGGGACAAGAGGAGCTTATATAATGGGCGTGTGTGTGTGTGTGTGTGTGTGTGTGTGTGTGCGTGCGCGCGCACACGTGCGCCCTGACCTGCCAGCAAACTACAGCAAGCCTCCAGGGGACGGGAGTAAACAACAGTCTCCTTCACACCCCTGCAAGGCGCAGGTCAGCTCTCAAGTCAGCTCTCGGGTGCCTGGTGCCAGCCTGACCCAGGCAGGAAATATGTACTCAGCTCCTGGGGTTCATGGCTTCCTACCTTTTAGTCTGGCCTGAGACACAAGGTCAGGGGGCCCCAGAGGGATGTTGGAATCCGCAGCCACGGGAGGGAGCATTAGGGTTCTCTGGACAAGGAGCTGGCTGCTGTCCCTCCACATTTATTTAGACCTGCAGAAAGTCCTAAGGGGAAAGAGAGGAGCCGCGCCCCACCTACGGAAGGAAACCCCACAAATCTCATGTCTCCCTGTACAAAATGAACGACCCGAGAGCTGGTGAAAAATCCAGACCCTGGGCCCCTTGGCCCAGCAGTTCTGACTCCGTGTGCCTGAGTAGGACCCCAGGAACCTGCGTTTTAAACAAGTGTCCTATGTGGTTGTGACAAAAGCAATTTACATTCAAAGGAACAAAGCAAGAAATAGAGTCCTCCAGCAAACAGGATGACCCATTGCTGGCGTGGGGTGGGGTGGGGTGGGGAATAAAGAAGCTTGGCTAATTAATCCAAGAGGTAAGGGAGGTCAGATAGCCTTCTTTCTGGCTGGACCCTAATCAAGGGATTTGCAAAGATCCACATCTCTGCTGTCTCGCTATCTCCTGCACTTAAAACAAAATTGTGTGGCCTTTAAAGGTCCCCGTTGGGCTGGAGGGGAGGCTGGAGGCTTAATTAGCACTGCATTTGCATTAAGTGAAACTCTCTTTTGGTAGTTATTAGAATATATGTTAAGGAAACTGTTTAAAGAAAAACATACCGGTCACCACCTTCACGTGACTGTTTGCATTTTACCCCCTGAACCCAGCCTACCCTTCTGCAAACAGGTTTTCACATGGCTGTAGTCACAGAGCAACTACTTACTCCTTAATCCTCTCGCATACCTCCACACTGGGTCTCCATTCCACCGGCTCTTTAAGGCCGAATGCTGTGAGCACTTCAGAGAATGTTACAGACTCAGGGACACTATAGAAGACTAATCCCACGCCCTTTGAGACCCTGAGATGGCCACTTGCTTCATGCTTCAGTTTCCTCTGGTCTACAGCAGTATTCGGAAGAGGTGCTGAAGCAGGCACCGGCAGGAAATACTCAGGGTCGGAATGACCTGATAATAATAAATCATGCAGTAGTCATCTTTTTTTTTTCTGTAAAGACCCAGCTAGTAAATATATTTTTGGCTTTGTGACCCATCCCGTGTCTGCTGCGGCTACTCAACAATACTATTGTAGCATGAAAGCAGACAGACAATATGTAAATGATGGGCGTGACCGGCTGTTTTAATAAAACTTTATTTATGAAAAAAAAAACAGGCCATGGACCAGATTTGAGCCAGGGCTATAATTTGCCAGTCTTTGCTTTAGGGCTTTTCTTTTTAAGGTCTTCCAAGCACTGCCGTGTACAAACCTCAAGCAGCCATTCTGTAGACAGTCTGGACATCATCCCCATTTCACAGAAGAAAAAACCGAGGCCCAGGGAGTGGTTAGCCCTCACTGTAGAGACAGAAGCAGGACTCTAGGGCAGGTCACGTATCTCCATCCTATCAAGGAATCCTTGACACTGGCCCCTGCTTGTCCCCACTCTAAATACATGTCCTGTTCAGCAGGGAAGAGGACCTTGGCCACACCCTGGGGAACACCCCCGGAAACACTGGGGAGCCATCCTGCTGGGTGCACGTTGCTTTCCACCCCTTCTGCATGCAGGGTGCAACCAGGCTGAGTCAGCTGGAGGCCCTGCTCCACCCTGGGGATGGGAGGAGCTGCCCCCCTGCACTCCAGCCCTGCCTAGGCTGGTGAAGGCCGGGCACAATGCCCCCCCCCTTCTCTCACCAGCGCGACCCATCCCCACCAGCAGCCTGAGCCGTGCAGGCAAAAACAGAGGGAAGTGTCTGAGGCATTTCTGAGGTCTCCCCTTAGGAGAGGAGTGGAGTGGGCGAGGGGTGGCGTGAAACATGGTCCCTGGTTCCCGGCAGGTGCCCCTCAAGTCAAATTCACCCTTGAATCACCTCCCATTAAGTAAATTCAGCAAGCTGACTAAGAGTGTGGTCTCTGGGGCCCAACCTCAACAGCGGGGTTCAAATGTTGGCTCTGCCTCGTGAGGGAAGTTTTGGGGTAATCGAAGTGTTCTCAAACCCAGTTGTGGTGATGGTTGCACAACTCAGAAAATCTTCTGATAATCACTGACTTGTACACTTAAGAAAATCCTGGCTCAGCCATGTACAGCTGTGTGATCTTGGGCATGTTACTTAACCCTGCTGTGCCTTCGTCTCCCCATCTGACAAACAGGAATTATAGTACCTGCGTCATCGACGAGATGGGGAGTCCTAGATGAGGGTCTGACAAGTCAACAGCGTAAGGACTTTAGAATGGTACCTTGCGCCTAACAAGGGGTCAGTGTTTGCGACACAGGCTTGGAGAGGTGGTAGTAAGTTCCTGAGCTGTGGCTCCAAACCGCTTGGCCCCTTCTAGCCTCCGCTCCTGCTGCTTGTGCCGCAAAATGCTGGGTGCCCTTCCCACAACCTCTGAGCTCAAATGCTAGTTCCAATCAGAGGTCATCTCTCTTCCCTGTTCCTAGGTACCTAATAACTGTTTTTATAGCAAAGACTCAGGGCTAAACGGCATATGGTTAGCTCTGTTTACTCCCTGGTGTGAGATCCTTGGGCCAGAAAGAGGTGATATCTTGTTTGTCCCGTTCCTGTCCAGGTGTCTTGCGTCTCAGCTATGACAACCTGGGTGCTGAACCGAATCCAACAGCGGGGGCCCAGGCTATCACGCCCTCTGTGGGTTGTGGTACAGTAACCATAAAGGTCAGCGAAGGTAACGGGGGTAACAATGAAGGCAGGTGAGCTACAGTGGTCATCGGTGGTGGTCTTTGGACCCAGAGGCTCAGCTCATACACAAGAAGTGAGTTCCTGTCCCCAAAACACTGGTTTCCCCTCAGTTATAGGGGATGCAAATCGCAAAAAGATGCAAAGATAAGGTGACCCACAGCCAGAGCCCCTGGGCTGGGCTGGCATAGTGTTTTCCGGTGTCTGCAGAGGTATAGCACCCCAACTCAAGGGTTCAGGGGGGCTAGCAATCAGGAGGGACTTCTTGGCCTCCACTGTCCCATTTTGGGCTCCTGGGTCTGAGCCCATAGACAACCCCAGGCTCCGGGCCGACCTGGTAAGAGCCTGTGACCCCAGAAAGCGCCTCTGGTGTCTTGCACAGACTGGTGTCTGGCGAGCCGTGGCTTCTGTTGATTTTTCCTGCGCCTCCCCTGTGCAAAGTCCAGAATTTCAGCGCCCAGAGAGCAGCCCCCTCTCTTTGCCTATGACCTGGGCCGGGAGAGGAAGAGAGGAAGCAGAAACGGTGAGGGCTAAAGGGACAGCTGTAGGGGACACTTCTGACTCAACAGCGCTGCCAGGGCTTGGGTAGGCGCTGCAAACCCCAGGAAGCCTTTCTGACGGCAACAACACGGACCTAACTTCCACCGAGGTGGCGGAAAGATCACCTCGGAACAGGGGCTAGTGTCTGCTGCGACAGGCAAGCTCCTCGCTCCTTCTCCGCACCTCTGCCCCGCGGGCCCTTTCCCAGGACAGCCAGGCCCCGCCGCCTCCCCTTCCCGGCAGCACCTATCGGCCCGGCCGCAGGTTGCAACGTGTTCCTCCCCTCGGCGCGGAGCCGCGTCTCCCGCCCTTCCCGCCGCGCGGGCCGCCTCCCGGCCCGCGGGCCACCACCCGGGGCGCGCTTACCGAAGTCCCGGATCCCCTCCTCCGGGGCCTCCTGGGTGAAAATCCAGGGGGGGTTGGTGGCGTAGAGGGAGGTGCTGGGGGGGTTGGCGTGCTTCTTGCCGAAGAGTTTGCTGAAGGTGCCCTGCACCGTCTGGTTCTTTTTCATGCTGCCTCGGGTCCGGCGGCGCCGGGAAGGACCTTCCCTCCCCCTCGGCCTGCCCCGTCCCGGATCGAACTCCGCACCGTCCCCCCCAGGGGCCTCTACCAGGCCATGTCCGCCGCCGGGTTCCCGGCCCCGCGCACCCGCGACAGGTGCTGCGGGCGCCGCCGCTCGCCTGGAAATGCGAGCTACCTGGACAGGTAAGAGGCTGCGGCTGAGACCCGGCCCCGCCCCGCCGCCGCCGCTGCAGCGGCCGCCCCGCCGCCCAACTCCCCCGGCCGCATTCCTGCCCGCCTTCTTCTACAACAGGCCATTGTTGGCACGGCCCGGTGGGCTGGGGACCTCGCCCAGCCCACGCCCAGCCTGGAAGACGAGCCGCCGGCCTCCCCCATGTCCCCTCCTGGCCCTCCTCCTCCACCCCTTTTCTTCCCGGGGAAGGGAGGAGGCGGGCAGGTTTCCAGCTGCTAAAGAGATTCGTGACCACGGTCAATGTGGGTGCCCAACGCTGGGGAAATGGCTGGCCAAAGCCAACAGGTTGGAAGGTCTCTCAGGCTCCTCCAGAATGTGGGCCCTGAGCCTTCGACGGATGTAAGGAAGCGCCCATCAGAAAAAAGATAAAGGGGGGAGGGGAAGCAATGGACAAGTATCCGTATCTGATGACAAAGGTGAAAAAAATATCCACAGTGACCCAGCTCCAAAGAGAATTGGAAGACGACTAAATCTTGGTACTTTTTGTATGCGCCTTTTTGGGTGGCGCCGGGGTAGTTCAGTCGGTTGAGTGTCTGTCTTGATCTCTGCTCAGGGCGTGATTCTAGGGTCTTGAGTTCGAATCTTCCCTAGGGACTCTGCGCTGATAGCTCAGATGCTCTCTTTCCTTCTCTCTCAGCCCCTCCCCAACTTGCGAATGCTCACTTGAGGAGGCGCACTCTCTCTCTCTCAAAATAAATACGTTTCAAAATTATTTTTTTCTTTTCTATGAAGTTAAATGAATATAATTTTTTAAATGTTTTTTAAATTGATTTCTGAGAGAGAGACAGCGTGAGCAGGGGAGGGTCAGAGAGAGAGGGAGACACAGAATCTGAAGCAGGCTCCAGGCTCTGAGCTGTCAGCACAGAGCCCGACGCGGGCCTCGAACCCATGAACTGTGAGATCATGACCTGAGCCAAAGTCAGAGGCTTAACCGACTGAGCCACCCAGGCGCCCCGGTGAATATAATTTTTAAAAACTCAAGGTGAGTTAAGTCAACAGAGGTTTTTAAAACTCAGGGTGGGGGGCGCCTGGGTGGCTCAGTTGGTTAGACGTCCGACTTCAGCTCGGGTCATGATCTCGCGGTTCGTGGGTTCGAGCCCCGCGTCGGGCTCTGCGCTGACAGCTAGCTCAGCCTGGAGTCTGCTTCAGATTCTGTGTGTGTCTCTCTCTGACCCTCCCCCGCTCATGCTGTCTCTCTCTCTCTCTCTCAAAAATAAATAAAATACTAAAAAAAAAAAAAAAATTAAAATAAAACTCAGGGTGGGTTGAGCCCGCTTAGGGTTCAGTTTACTCTCCAGGGAGAGAGGGCTGTGGCCCTTTAAGGTGCTAAGAGGACAAATGGGGAGGGGGGGTTAACTGCCCCAGGGGGGATCTTGGGAGATGCTGAGAGGAGGGGAGAGCCAGGCCAAGGGGTTCGATTTCCAGGCTTCCTGGCAGCAGGAGGGGGTTGGGGAAGAGGGGGGGGGGTGAAGCAATCACAGACATTCGGCATGTTTTCCCTGAGGTCCCCCAGAAGTTGGAATGGCATGGCTCTTAGTACCAGAGGTGATCCTTCTCAACTTTTCATTCTGAAAAATTTGGAAGACTAGTAAAATGACCACCTGTACGCGTTTCTCCTGGACTCGCCCACTGTGACCAGGTTGTCACACTTGTGCGCATGCGCTCTGCGCTTTCTCTCCACACACCACACACACTTTTTTTTTTTTCACTTTGCTGAAGGTGAAAACTTCTAGATATCGCGGCCCATCTCCCCACGCACACCGATACTTCAATATCCATTGCCAAAGAATCAGGACCTTCTCCTAAATGACCACGATACAGTTATCACACTCAAGTATTAAAAATTCCCAGTTATCCCCCAAATGTCATTTTTATTTCTTTCTTTTTTTTCCAATCCACAGTCCAGTCAAGATTCACACATTGCCTTTGCTTGTCAGGCGCCTTTAGTCTCTGATTTAGTACCACCCCCTGCTTTTGTTTTTCAGGACAGTGACATTTTTTTAAAAGTCCTTTTTACTTGCTCCAGGTTAAGGGACAGGATGAGTTGGGCTGTCACGGCTTGTGGATATGAGGTCATTGATTTCCCAGCAGGAGGGAAGGGACTATGAACTGTTGGGGGGTGGAGGGGCAGGAGCATCTTTAGAAAGCTGTGTTCCCAAACACCTTGTGTTTCCAAAAGGTTTTTGGTTGGAGACTTGCCTGTGGTCAACCCTGTCCCACCCCATCCACCACCACCGTGGCACTCATGGAACCTACTGCTATTCATTCAAGGGGTAGTTGTGGAGGCTCTCCCAATTGCCTGGGTGTGGGTTGAGGGCTTGCTGGTCCAAGGGAAAATAAGAGAATTACAGAAGTCCTCTTTCTACCTTGAAGGATCTTGAGATCTCCCTTGAGGGAGATAAGGGAAGGGTTATGTGATTCAAGGTGGCAGGCCACGATGACTAAGTGCCAAACTGTGACTGGTGTCATTCATACACATAGCAGAAATTCAGAGGTGAGGAAGTCAGCCTGGGCTGGAGAAGTCCAAGAAGGCTTCCTGGAAGAATTGAGACTTGAGCTGGTCTGTGGAACATGGCGAGAATGTCAATAGAGAAGGGAAAGAGCCATTGTAGGGTATGGTCACATACCCATACCATCCATCCCTCCACCCTCCTATCTCCGCATCGTGGCTTCTCCCACTGCCTACACAGGGAGGGCACAAGGGAACCCCAGACGCCCCATCATGCCCTGGACATCATCATAACCTGCCCAAGTGCTCCAGACACACACACTTTCTTAGAGGCTTCTTTCTTGGAGATCTTGGAGCCATGAAGCTCTGCCATCTTGGGCAGCTCTGGGCTCTACTACCCAGAACCAGCCCCAGCGGAGCACCGGGGAGTGGCTCCATTCATGTGCAACTTCCACTTCTGTAACTAGTATTCTGAGAACAGCTGTGTGCCCCCTGTGGGCTGTGAGGGACCCAGAGAAATCAAAGATATGGCATCAGAGTTCAAGTTGCTTTAGTCTTTGTGGAAATGGAGAGAGACACACGTGGAGAGAGGAAAAGGGGAAGTAAATGAAGAGGAGATTAAGGGAACAAGGTTCAGAGGAGCAGCAGTCAGGATGGGCTTGAGCATGGGGGGAGCACGCTCAGGATTCCTGAAGGACTCTGCCGGGACTTAGGAGGGCGCAGCTGGGACCTGGGGGGTGGGAAGAAGGTCACAGCAAAGTGGGCCAGGGTGTAATGTGCTTAAAAAGACCAGTTGCGGGGCGCCTGGGTGGCTCAGTCGATTAGGCCTTCAACTTTGGCTTGTGTCATGATCTTGTGCTTCATGAGTTCAAGCTCCATATGGGGCTCTGTGCTGACAGCTCAGAGCCTGGAGTTGACTCTGATCCTCTGTCTCCCTCTCTCTGCCCTCCCACTGAATGCACTCTCTCTCAAAAAATAAATAAACAATTAAAAAAAAAAAAGACCAGTTGATAAAATCGGAAACAACCTAAGTTGTCCATCTGAAGATGACTGGTCAAATAAATTATGACACGTCCACACAATGGAATAATAATGCAACTCTAAAGAAGAATGAGTCAGCTGACTGGGTCCAGTTATCTTCAAGATAAACTGATAAAGTGTTGACAAAATGGTGTGTGTAGTTTGCTACTATTTGGGGCAAGATAAGTATAATCTTATTTGTTTGTATTGTCACAGAGGAACTTTGGAGAGATATGTAAGAAACTAACAAAAGTGGTGGCGGTGGGAGTAACTGCACAAATCGTGGTGGGGGGGACAGAATGGGAGGGAGAATTTTGACTGAGTGCCTTTTTATACTTTTTTATTTTCCAACCATGTAAATATATTTGCTGTTTTTTTAATATATTTTTATTTATTTCTAGGAGAGAGAGAGACAGCGTTAGCAGGGGAGGGTCAGAGAGAGAGGGAGACACAGACTCTGAAATAGCCTCCAGGCTCTGAGCTGGCAGTCAGCACAGAGCCCGACGCGGGGCTCGAACCCACGAACCGCAAGATCATGACCTAAGCGAAAGTCGGACGCTTAACCGACTAAGCCACCCAGGCGCCCCATATATTTGCTGTTTAAAAATTAAAGAAAAAAGTGTGTCAACTACACTTCAGTTAACAATAAAGAGGGGTGCCTGTGTTGCTCGGTTGATTGTCTGACTCTTGATTTCAGCTCAGGTCATGATCCCAGGGTTGTGGGATTGATCCCTGTGTGGGGCTCTGCACTGAGCATGGAGCCTACTTAAGATTCTCTCTCTCCCTGTCTCTAAAAATAAGATAATAGGGGCGCCTGGGTGGCTCAGTCGGTTAAGCGTCCGACTTTGGCTCAGGTCATGATCTCGAAGTTCATGAGTCTGACCCCTGTGTGGGGCTCTGTGCTGACAGCTCAGACCTGGAGCCTGCTTCGGATTCTGTGTCTCCTTCTCTCTCTGCCCCCCTCCCCTGCTTGCACTCTGTCTCTCTCAAAAATAAATAAACATTAACAAATTTTTAAAAAGAATAAAAAATAAGACAATAAAATAAAATAAATTATAAAAATTTAAAGAAAAATAAGTAGGCATGAGAGTCTAGAAGTATGGTCCATGAACAGCAGCAACTGCATCACCTGGGATCTTACTAGAACTGTAGAATCTACTAGAACTGTAGAAACCCCATCCTAGGCATTGGGCAACCTCTCTGGGCCTTGGTTTGTTTGTCTGTAAAACAGGCTATTAATTTCAGGTTGTTATGAGATTCAGTGAACTGATGGATTAAGGTACCCAGCAGAGGATCTATGTTTTAACAAGGTCCCCAGGTGACTCAGGATCATGTTAAGGTTTAAGGAGCTTGGGCCTAGAATCAGAGGTTATCAGGAGCAGGCACTGGTGACTGGTAACAGTGGTGGGTGTTTTTGTGTTTTTGTGGGTTTTTTTTTTTTTTTAATAAAGTAATCTCTACACCCAACATGGGG